AGTTAGAGACAAATGGTCTAAGCTTCTTATTGATGAATGGGTTAATAAAACGCTTCTTAGTTGATACTTTACGTTTAAAATTAGTTTATGTTTATTGGCTTAATGTTTAGTAGTTTTGTTGAATTGTGGTACTTATATTAGTTTTATGTTTAGTAGCTTGAATTAGCTTAATGAATTGTGTTCTTTATATTAGTTTCATGTTTAATAGTTTGAATTAGTTTAATAAATTAGTTGATGTTGAATGTTGAATGTTAAATTGCTAGCTGCGCAGGATTTGAAAATTGATACAGGTGGGGTAGAAAACGTAAAACGCATATAAATAAAAAAAATAATAACATACGGCGTCGGTTTTTACCTAAAAACCGACGCCGTTGGTTAATTATTATTTTTTTAAAAAATAATAAATATATACGGCTTCGGCTTTTAGGTAAAAGCCGAAGCCGTATATATTTATTATTTTTTAAATATATATATATATATATATATATATATATATATATATATATATATATATATATATATATATATATACTAGTCTTTTCTATGCGCGATGCGCAAAAATATATGCCCAATATTTATATTTTTAAAAATAACTAACAAATTTTTACTAATTATAATCTAAGTGAAATAAAATTTATTTATTATATTAATTTAATATATAATGAATATATAATGTTTTACAAAATATTGTTATAATTAAAGAATATAAGAAAAGATGTGGTAGATGCAAGTGTATGGTAAAAGTAATGTAAAAGATAACCGAAGTTATAACGGGGTAATGATATTTTTGTCCAAAAAATTATATAGTACAACTCTAAAAGCACAATGTACAAAATGTTTAGCATTAAAAACATGGACATAAATGAGGGGTATAACTTTGATTGAGACTTATTATGTTTTTAGATATATATATATATATATATATATTTTTTAAAAATAATTTACATACGACGTCGGCTTTTAGGTAAACGCCGAAGCCGTATATATTTATTATTTTTAAAAAATAAAAAATAATTACCCTACGGCGTCGGTTTTTAGGTAAAAGCCGACGCCGTATATATATATATATATATATATATATATATATATATATATATATATATATATATATATATATACGGCTTCGGCTTTTAGGTAAAAGCCGAAGCCGTATATTACATACGACGTCGGTTGTTCAACCGACGTCGTATCATTTACTTACGACGTCTCTTAAGACGACGTCGAAAGATAACCGACGTTAAATGGGGTATTTTAACCGACGTTAAAACCGTTTTCTGTAGTAGTGGGACACTTGACCCTGACCCGATACCGAGCAGATGTCTTGAACGTATAGCGAGGTATACCCGAGGATATCAAGTAGCCTCCCCCTTTCTCTCCCATTTCGTGCCTTGACGTCGAGCTAATGAGGAAGGATTCAAGCTGAAAAATCTATTATACAGTCTATGACTTACGCTTGGTTGTCTCGTTAAAAACCTAAAACTAAGAAAAATCTAATGGGAAAATAACCTAGCAAAGGGAAAAAGAGTACAACCATGGGTTTAATTTTTTGGACGATCGAGAGATCAAATTGATAATGATCTAGAGATTCAATTTTACCAAGCAAGGGATTGGATTTACTCATGATCTAAGGATCGAATTTACTGTGATATAGCGATCAAATTTTATCAATATTGGATTTATTCACGGTCTAGGGACATCTACTGATCTTATCGATCATAAGCGGGAACGGTTCTCCCAATGTCCTTTACTTGGGCTAATCGTTTGTAGCTAGTTTGTGCTTGGTCAAACCCTGACCCAGATTGTTCTTAGCTAATCGCGTTCGGTTAGTTTTGATTATCCACATTAATCATTATGATGAGTTTTGAAAACTGAAATCATTTGAAATGAGCATTTTTCCCTTTTTATGCTCGATTTACATCTCGAGAGTCCCAAGTTGAGGTAGGCTTGGAGACCCGAAAGTCTAATGATAATGAGATCGGGAAGGTCGTTATGCTCGAAAAGTGCACTATGATCGGGAAATGCACTAATGAGCTCCGTAGACCAAGGGAGTTGTTCTGCAACCCTATCAAGATACATAGTGTAATTAAAATAATACTTCATTTTTATTATAATAAAACTAGTGTGTGTAATATAAAACTAAAACAAAACTCATATCATGATTTACGCGGCTACATGAACCATGTTTTACAATAAAATTTGGCAAATTATACTGTGCACCAGGGCGCATAATGCATTGTGCACCCTGGCTTAAAACGACGTCGTTTTGTACCTTTTTCGCGTGTCTGCTATTAACTCCTTAAAAAAAATTCATGTTTTGAATGTACAGAATTGTATACTAGAAAACACAGATATTTATACCTAAAAACACAGAATTTTATACCTGAAAACACAGAATTTTTATAACTGAAAATCCCCATGTTTCGAATATACAGAATCATATAATAGAAAACACAGAATTTTATACCTGAAAACACAGAATTTTATACCTGAAAACACATAATTTTATATCTGAAAACACATAATTTTATAACTGAAAATTCGCATGTTTCGAATGTATCCTCTGTTTCGAATGTATAGAAATTTATACCTGAAAACACAGAATTTTATACTTAAAAACACAGAATTTTATAATTAAATATACATACTTTTTGTCGCGTTAATTCCCCACACAACTTAACAAAACGCAATCGTTATATCCTACACCACGGCGCACATAGCACTGTGCGCCGCGCGCCTCTCAAAACGACGTCGTTTTGGGGTAGTGTTGGGAGGCGCGGTAGGAAGTTGCTGAGATTATGTGTATTTGTTCACAATGTTATGTGTATTTGTACACAACGTTATGTGTATTGGTTCAAACAGTTATGTGTATTTTTTATACAATTATGTACATACTTTTTATACAATTATGTACATCCGAATCAGAAAATTTGTGTGTATTATGTTAAGAGTTGATGTGTATTATGTTAAAAGTTTATGTTTATTATGTATTATGTTAGATTATGTGTATTATCTTTTAAAAAGAGTATGTATATTTTGTTATATAATTATGTACATTCATGTATAACATTATGTGTATTCTAGTATAACATTATGGAACAAATTGTACTTTTGGTCCTGTGAGTATTAGGGTACTGACAATTTGAGTACGTGACTTTCAAAACTCACAATTTAAACCTTTAACTATGCAATTATTGGCAGATTTGGTCCTCCGGGCCAAATTGCCGGCCAATTTTGGCCGGAAAAACATAAATTGGTTCAAATTGTTTTTTGACGAGGGTAAAATTGTCATTTCACTCCCTTCTTCTTCATTCTCCCTTTCTTCTTCGTTCTTCTTCTTCTTCTTCTTCATCCTTGCAATTGTTGATTTTCTGGTCACCAGAAAAACATTAAAATGAATGGGTATTAAAGAAAATAAAAATAAAAATAAGAAATTCATATTAATGGCCAAATGGAATCAATGCATTCAACTTTCTTCGTTTCAACGTCGCCGGCAAAGCCATCGTGCCCGGCCGGCGCCTCGTCCTCCTCGCTGGTGTAGTCCTCGTGCTTGGGCACCGGAGCGATTAATCTCTGGTCATCGGCGTTCGAGTTTCGCGGGCTTGTTTAGTTCATCTTCTTCCCAATGCAAGCCCCACTTCGGAGTCTCAACCTCGCGTTCTTACTGAGCCGTCCATGGTCTAAAGAACCCAGCTTTCGATCATTCTCATCTTCTTCTTCATCAAATTACTCAAACCAATCTCGCGATGGCCTCCCTTGCTTCTACTCTGAAATCCTCCCTTCTTCAGAGGTATCTCCATTTTGCTCAATCTCCCTCTTTTTATCCCCTCCCAAGTCCCAATATACTATTCATTCGTTGAATTTCTTCTTTTTGGCTCAAACCCACTTCGTATTTTACTGTTTTCGTTTATCTTTTATTAAATCATTTTCGCATTTCATTTATTGCTCAGTGTATGTCTGCTCCCAGTGCAAGGATGAAGAAGAAGAACGAAGAAGAAGGGGTGAATGAAGAAGAAGAGAGTGAAATGACAATTTTACCCTCGTCAAAAAATAATTTGAACCAATTTATGTTTTTCCGGCCAAAATTGGCCGGCAATTTGGCCCGGAGGACCAAATCTGTCAATAATTGCATAGTTAAAGGTTTAAATTGGGAGTTTTGAAAGTCACGTACTCAAACTGTCAGTACCCTAATACTCACAGGACCAAAAGTGCAATTTGTTCTAACATTATGTACATTCTTGAACAGCGGTTTTTTTTTTTAAAGAAAAAACTACTGCCATTCACTGGGGCGGGAAATTTCAAAAAAAAATAATTAAAACGACGTCGTTTTGCATCTGGGTGCATAGTGCAACGCGCGCCGTGGTGTAGGATATAAATTGCACGATATCGTTTTAGAAGGCGCGGGACGCATATTGCTATGTGCGCCATGGTGCACGGTATAACGATTGATAAAATTTGCCCAGGGTTACTCAAAGCCCATTATGCCAAAAGGCCCATTTCTAATTAATACTCCGTACGAAGTCAATCGTTATATTGTGCACCACGGCGCACATAGCACTGTTCGTCTCGCGCCTCCCAAAATGACGTCATTTTGTTAAGTTGTTAAAAAAAAAATCTTCTGTTTCAAATGCACATAAAGTCATAACAAAATACACATAAACTCATAACAGAATACACATAATCTAACACAATACATAATACACATAAACTTTTAACTTAATACACATAATGGGGTTTGGTTAACATAATACACATAAACTCTTAACTGAATACACATAAACTCATAACACAATACATATAAAATTTTAACTGAATACACATAATGAGATTGATCTGTTCGGACAGAGTGATGTCAGTAAGAAACGAGCGCATTTTGTGTCTGAGCACACATTGCTATGTGCGTCGTGGTGCCCGATATAAATTGCCGTACGAAGTAGGAAAAAAAATGAAAGGAAATTATTTGAAAGCAATTGCAACGGTCGAATCCGAATTTTTTACATTACATAGTTATCTGTTAAAATGAATCGCTGACTCGGTGAGTGGATCAGAGAGAGAGAGAGAGAGAGATGAGGAGAAAGAAATCAGGGAAAGATGCAGACAAACAGGCTACAGTCGAAGAGAATCCGGCGAATCTGACTAAGAAAAGAAAGGGAAATTGGAGGCGTAAAGCTCAAATAGAAGCAATTGAAAATAAAAGATCAGCGAGTTCATCTCAAGAAGAGGAAGAACTGGCGGCCCAAGTAAAAGAAGGGGAATCCAGTTTCTTTGGTTGCTATTTGCTGACCTCTCTGTCTCCCAGATTCAAGGGTTGCACTTATATTGGGTTCGTTTCATATTTTCTTTAATTATCCTCTTCTATTAAGAAAAAAAAAAAACCCTATCTTTGATTTGAATTTCAACGGAGCAGTTCTAGGTTTGTGATCATATATGTACTAAGCAGTTTCGTTTTTCTTTAGTATTCTGAACTTAATTGGATATCGCTAGTGTTTGCTGAAGAAATGGGTTTCTTGAATTGTGTAGATTTACTGTGAACCCACGGCGTAGAATTAGGCAGCACAATGGGGAAATAACCAGTGGTGCTTGGAGGACCAAGAATAAGCGGCCTTGGGAGATGGTGCTGTGCATCTATGGCTTTCCCACCAATGTTTCTGCTTTGCAGGTCTGTTTAAGCCTTTTTATGGTTTCAATTTTGCTAAATTTTTGGCTTTCAAGCATTTGTAGTGCTCTTTGATCTTTGCCATCATTGCCCATTCAATATTCAGTAGATAGCTATAACTTATAAGATCATGGAATCAAGTTTTTGATTATGCAGTTCAGCGAAAATTAAGAAATCCCGATTAAGCCTTATTTTAGATGTTCATGTGTTTCTGTATTTGTTGGGCGGAGGCCGGTAAAGGGTCAAGTCCATCAATTGGTGGCTAAGGGAATTGTTGGGCGGGGGTTGGTGAAGGGCCAAGTCCAACACCCTGCCTCTCGAAAATGTGATGGCGGTTTATACGGAAATAAAGTTGCGCCTTTGCTATTAGCTATAGCTTTTGGCGTAGTGGTCAGAGCCAGGAAAACTGGATATGCTGAGAGGGGGAGTTGTTGGATGGAGGCCGGTGAAGGGCCAAGTCCATCACCTTGCCTCTCGAATATGTGATGGCGGTCTCTAAGGAAATAGAGGTGCGCCTTCGCTACTGGCTATAGCTTTTGGCGTAGTGGTAAGCGCTTGATCCTAACAGTATTATTGGAAATTGAACTTTAAACTGATTCATGGAAAGCATCTCCATAGGCAGAGATAGTCTTCCGAAAACAATACATCTAATAGGATTTCTAGGCTCAAGTGTGCGTTTCTGCTGCTCACATATGTAAGTTGTTAGGTGTCGATTGGGACAAAGAACTATCCATGAAGGAATCCATTGGAAGAATAGTGGACTTAACTAATGTGGTTGTGTGCTTAATTGAACTGTGCAGTTTGAGTGGGCGTGGCAGCATCCAAAAGAATCATTAGCGGTAAGAGAAGCAGCTGTGTCGTTCAAAGCCTTTGGAGGAGTCGCCAATAAGATCAAAATGGCATACACGATGCTCACTTTACCCGCATGGCAAAGGTATGTTCTTATGTTTGAGAGAGCAAACTATTATCTTTTGTTGCTTAAAAGATAGACTTCTGGTTGTAACGAAAAAATTGTATTATTTTGCATGTTGGATATCAGGTTGAACCTTACTGTAAATTTCTTCTCGACGAAGTACACTAAGCATACTGCTGGTTGCCCAACGCTGCCAGAACACATGAAGGTCCGAGTTTGTCCCATGGACGATCTGCCTTGTTATTCTGGGATTAGTTATGATGAGTATGATGATGAAGAATGCGATGGAATTAGTGGGTCCCAAGAGCTAGCGGATGAAGGGTCCGTTGAATCTCATAATTCTAGTGCTGGTATTGAAGAGAGCATTATTGAACAAAATACTACTGGGAATTTGACAGAACAAATGATCAGCAAGAAGCACAAATGGGATCAAAAAACTACAAGTCCCAAAGAAAATCATAGGCATTCGAGTTTCACCAACTTCCCTTGGGCATCATCTCCATTTGGTGTCAGATCCAATAATATACTCGACTCCAGAGAAGATGAACTTAGATTTGAAGACTCAGATTTTAGCTTCCATCACCAAACCAATAAGTCGCCAGAGACAATAGTAATTTCCTCCGATCAACGTCCATCTCACCGGACTAGTGAGGTTGAGATCATAGATATATGTACTCCTCCTCCCCTTATTGATAAGAGAACACTTTCTACTGCTTTTCCTGAGATAATTGACTTGACAGAGTCTCCCATTTTTATTTAATTGTAATGCTTTTAGCAGTTAGCACCTCCATCATCAATAATCAAATTGTCTGGAAACATATCTCTGTTTCCCAGTTTCTTAGCTATAGTTGTGTGTCATTGTTTAGTGTATGTATGTGTTTGTATATCTTACAACATAATAGGAACTGAGATTTCAACATCCTGTGATTAAGGATTTTTTTTAAATTTTTATTCAATGTTAAACATAACATCTTGGCCCTGTTCGGTAAAATATCGATATAAGTGTTTGGTTAATTAGCTTTTTGCAACTCCAAAATGCTAAAATTCAAAAAACTACTCAAAACAACTTTTTCAATTAACTTTTTTAGAAAAGAAATTATACCAAACAACTATCAGTTAATAGCTAATTTACCAAACACTTTTCTACAACAGCTAATGTAATCAACTAGTTATACCCTCTAATTAATACAATCAGCTAATCTATCAGCTAACAGCCATTTACCAAACAAGGCTTGTGTGTTTCTAGTTGAGTATTGCTGTAATTTCAGCAGAATTAAGCCATGAATGTAGTTTGATTTTCAATCCTCATGAGTAGGTAAACAAGGCAGAAACTCCAGAAGGTTTGTATGATCTGAGTCCATAAAAAAAAATAAAGGAACCCATGAAGGATACAAGCCTTATAAACAAGAGAAATGTACAAGTATAAGATTGCATGAAAGCTTTGCAAATTGTATGAGAACCAAGGTTAACTAATCCAGTTTCTGCTGCTGTTATAGAGTTTGCTGGTTCTTCAAATGCCACTGATAATTGGCTACTTTGTAATATCATTCTGTTCGGTCCAAACAATATCTTGAAGTCCAGGTCTTATGCAATCATTCATTATCTTATCGTATTCTAATGTATCCCCGTTCGATTTCTTAACCTCTAACAAATGAAGAGCAGGAGTGAGCTCAAAGATTTCAGCATCAATGGACAAGATGCCCTTTCTACCTTCCTTTGTTCCTTCGAACCTCAAAAGCCCCGCATCCCTTTTGGTCAACTTCAGCTTCATATGTTTGGCAATGTCCTCGAGTTTAGATATGATGAGATATGGAGGTTTCATGGAAGTGAACCTATGTTGTTTCTTCAGACAACTTTCCTCGAACAATCTGGACAAATCAAAGCCGGTATAATGGGAGATTATATCAAATGCATTCAAGTTTGGTAATCTTGGCACCTCTTGTTTGTCCTTTGCAACAATCTGGGAAGCGGCGAACTTGGTTTTTGCATTGGAGGTCATTCTTCTTTTGAACCATGGATGGTCCCGAATTCTTGCAATCGTAATTCTAGTATCGGGGCAGGGATCCAGTATTCTCAAAAGTAGCCTGCGAATCTCGGGTTGAAACCAATTGGGGCATCTGAACTCGGCTTTTGCAATCCTCCTATACATTTCCATCAAATTCGATTCATGAAATGGGAGATAACCAGCCAGCATAACATATAGGATGACCCCACAGGACCAGATATCGGCTTTTGCCCCGTCATAGCCTTTCATGTTGATGACCTCGGGCGCGACGTAGGCTGGGGTCCCACAGGTGGTGTGAAGTAGTCCATCCCCACGCTTCGACTCAGCAAAAGCACTTAAACCGAAATCAGAGATTTTCAAATTCTCGTCTTCATCTAAGAGTAAGTTCTCGGGTTTCAAATCTCGATGATAGACGCCTCTACTGTGGCAGAAATCAACCGCGTTTACCAACTGCTGAAAATATTTCCTCGCAACATCTTCTTTTAGCTTCCCTTTAGCCACCTTGTTGAAGAGCTCGCCCCCTTTAGCTAACTCAATTACGAAATAAATCTTGGTTTTCGTCGCCATGACTTCGTGAAGTAAGATGATGTTAGGATGCCTTACTATCCTCATAATAGATATCTCCCGCTTTATCTGATCCATGAGCCCAACCTTCACAATCTTCTCCTTGTCCACGACTTTAATGGCAACACTCTGTCCGGTCACGATGCTTCTAGCATAGTAAACCTTAGCAAACGTGCCTTGCCCCAGTAACCTTCCTAATTCGTATCTCTCCATAAGAGAAGTCCCTCCATAAGCCATCAAAACACAAAACCTAAACCTCAACAAAATACCGTCCTCGCTCTGGCTAGTAGAACCAATATGAAGAAGGAAGGTTGGAAATTAGTCGAGCTCGACCATCCTCGCACAGGTGAGACATTAACACCAGCGGCAACTGAGATTCTGCTACTCTATTTTGCATCTCGCAAAGGGTAGTAGTCAAGGAGGAGATACAATCAAGATGCTCGGGCTAAGTCTTATCAAGGAAGGAGAACGCCTCTATCAAGTCACAGACATCATGCATATCATCAAAATATGGTTCCCCGATGCTCAAGCACATCTTTCAGCATTCCTTTCTTTGGTTCTGCTCTATTCAAAAGATCCCCACAAAGTGCTGAAACGACATGCCATTGGCCACTGTCTATGAACCTAAGCAAAGCAACTAATGCATGATATTAGAAACAATAATAATCGACATCAACCACAGAATGCAGATATCCCATTTGATTTACGCCTGCAATCAAGAGAAGGAAGAACACGCTAAGGAGGGGTAACCCCAGTCAAGTTGGCTAAGGATACAAACTTGTAACCACAAGGTCGATTTGAGCTGGTCAGCTATGCGCCACCTAAGCTGGTTAACCTCCTTGTGGTCCTTTGCCGGCCCCAGTCAAGTTGGCTAAAGATACAAACTTGTAACCACAAGGTTATGGGATCGAATCCCAGCCTCCTTGGTTTGAACTGGTCAGCTATGGGCCACCTAAGCCGGTTAACCTCCTTGTGATTCTTTGCCGGCTAGGCTCACAAGGCAGAGTTTACCCCTTGCGGGTTTCGCTCGTCACCCCAAAAGAACATTCTAAGGCAAATAAACCACTAAACCAGTTCCACTGCCACAGCCATAATCAAACCAACAAATTTTTTGAGCTTCTAATACTAAGAAAAATCAAATTAAATCAAATAAATAATCATAATACCTGGAACTTCTTGACTGCAAGTCCCAGGGATATTCATTATATAAACTTCTTTTTGCATTTCAAATCTCTAAAATTAGAAAGCTACCACACGAGGCAAAATTTTTGAAAGTTAAAAGAACATATCTGCATTTCAGGTATGAAATATCCATATCCAAATTTTCCTTTTCGGCAATCCGCGATCTAATATTACTCAAAATTGTCACCCTGGCCTTTTGCAAATCCGACAACCATATATTTGTCATCGTACCCCACATAGTAGATTCACAATACTGTGGATTTTAGTAACAGATTTAAAAGAAGTAAACAAAGAAATTAAAAATAATTCAATTTGTTTCAGGAAATACAACAGAAATTCAAATTGCAAGAAGAGCACAGCAGCAGAAAACATGCAGGGGGTGGAATCTTTTGTTGAGAAAAAGAGAGCAGTTCATGGATCAAAGCTAAATCCAGTCTGATCCAAGAAGGAGAGATGAAAAAACAATATTTTTCAAAATCCATAACTTTCAATTCCTAAGAATGAAACTTGAATCATGTGATAGCGTACAGAAATCCATAAAATCACAAAGAGAAAATCCAATCTTGTGGCTATTGCATTAAAAAGAAAATGTGAAAAAGAGTTACCTTGATAGGGAGCTTTTGAAGATGAGAAAAAACCGCAGAAAGCTTGGAAATTTGGTTGTGGGTCTGAAGACAGAGGGTAAGAGAAGCTGACAAGAGAGAGAGAGAGAGAGAGAGAGAGAGAGAGAGAGAGAGAGAAACAAGTGGCGACGCCGTATAGTTACTGTACCATTTTTTTGTAATTTTGTTGCTGTTATGGAGGAACCAGGGTGGAGAGAGGAAGCCTCCACCGCCTCTGAGTCCACGTTGCAACTCACGTGACACCCGGGAAACCGGTTGATAAAACCATCTCCAAAAGTAATGATTTTTCACAAATTTTAAAAAGCTATTTTAAGTATATTATTTCATACATCTATTTTTTTTTTTTTTTTATGGAATGCTACCCACTCTATTACGTTGTAGTATCTGTTCAAACATACTTTCTCAATCTAATGAAACACAAAAAGTCAATAACACCTCCACTGAAGTCTGATCTCATAACCTCTCACATGGGAGAGATCACTACATGCCATCTGAGCACAATGTGTTTGGCATTTTTTGTTTTTTTTTATTATATAATTTTTATAATTTAATTTTTGTAAGTTCGATAGTAATTTTGATAAAGTTTTTAAATATATAAATTTTATAAACTAATACTAAATTAAATATTATAAAAATTTAAATTATAAATAAATTCAGTCAATCTTTATTAACAAAATTATACACATAAAATAAAATAGAAGGAGTATAATTTTTTCCAGTCAAGTTATGTGATAATTTCTAGTAATATAACACTATTCTCACTAGGGATGTCAATCTTTGTCCGAACTCGATGGGCTGGCCCATATAAAACCGAAACCGACAAGGCTATAGTCCGAACGGACTAACCCGATAAAAAACATTAGCTCGATGAGTCCGAAATCGATAAGCCCGAGGTCCGATAGGGCTAGCCCGAAATTAAATGGGCTAGTCCAATAACCCGAACTATTAAAAGTTATTTCTTTATTATAAAAGTGATGTGAAACATAACATACATGGAATTGAAAGGTGAGTTGATCTTTAGTACGCATTTTTTATTATTACATTTTAAAATAAAATTTTAATAAATATATTACAAAATAAGTTATTTTTATAATAATAAACAATGAGAAATTAATAACTTATTCTAAATATTGTATTATAGTGTAAGTATATGTGACACCCCGTAAATCCAAACTCCAATCAAGGATAAATTAGAGAATTAATCCTAGTCTCCTTGTTAATTTCTTCCTAAAAATCCTGAAAATTCAATAGTCGAAGGACTAGAAATTGACTAGTCATTCAAGGTCAAAGGGTTGTACCTTATGCTTATTGGGTTGTGCCCTTATTTCCTTATTCTTCTAACTTTAGTAAGGGCAAAGATGTCTTTCTACCTAAGGTTTGTGGTTCAAGCTAACCTAGCAATATCTCTTCATTTCATTCACTAACAATCTAAACACAAAATCTCTACCTTATCTCTAAGAAGTGGTAGCTTCTTCTCTAAGCTAGAATTTGGACATCCTAAATCTTGCAAGTTGTCTCTCAAGATTCCTACTTTCCTTATCTTGAGCATAGGAGGGGGGGGGGGGGGGGGGTAAGATCCTTGATCTTTTGGTGTTTTTAACCTCCTTTTAGATGTCTTTTTCTAAAAATAGAACCTTTGTTGTCTTTTGGTTTGTTTATGAAGTTGGTGTGGAAGAAGAACTTTAGGAGAGGCTTTCTAAGGGGAGAAAGAGAAGTTTTAGGCTACAAAGGTAACCCATGCTTTACAAAACCTATTTTCTTACTTATATGATGATTTCTTGGCTTCTACTTGTGATTTTTGTGATGAAATGTGAGGTTTGATGCATTGTCTTGTGGTAATGCATGTTTAGAGCTTGTATGCCATTGCTTGGCTATCTCTTGGGTTCAAGTCATATTGGTTTTTTGTGTGAGATTTTGGGTGTTTTGGACTTGTTGTTGAAAATTCCCGGAGGGATTATTTTTGGAGTACAGGTGTACCCGCGGGCGGAACGGCGGGCAGAGGCCTACCCGCCGCCCCACCCGCGGGGAACGTGACTCGTGGGTTTGTGTACCCGCGGGCGGAGGTCCACCAGTGGCCCCACCCGCGGGGAACATTGTTGGCAATGTTCGGGGATTTGTTCCTCGTAATTCTTTTGACTCGGTATTGATGTTTTGACCTCTCTATGTTGTTTTATTGGGCTATTTGTGAGTCTTCTTGATGTTTCGTATGTCTAGAATGGTACGTTAGGAATCCATGTAGGATTTGGTGTCTTGAATCGTGCTAAGGGTCTAACTTTGTGATTCGTTGGGCTAATGTGAGTCTTGAATGTTCTATGGAACTACTTTTGGTTTACCCGTTTGATAAGCATGCTAGTTTGATGTTGAAATGCTAGTGTGTGCGGTTTGTTCTTTCCTTTTGAGATTGGCAACTTCTGTTGACCATCGTTTGGTGTCGGATTGTGATCCTTCGTTGTTGAGTATGGTTTCATATCTTTGTTGTGATCCATTGATTGATTCTTATGATGTGAACGTATGTAATTGTTGTACACTTTGATTGATGCTTGATTAAGGTTATTGTTGAACCTTAGTCTTCTTGGTAATGATGATGACTTGTGTGACTATGATTGAAATTGGTGGTGTGTTACCTGAGCGTTGGCTCATATGTTGGAGGCTATTTAATTGAAATTAATGGTACCCTCGTGTACTGAGAGTTCGGCGGTATGTTGGAGGCTATGTTGGAGGGGGGACGACGGTCCCTGGCGGTACAAGGTTGGACTCAGAAGTACAGGGTCACACTCGGAGGTAATGGTTGGAACTGAAATAAGGCCAGGGGTAGCCATAAGGTTGGAACATGGCATAAAGTTGGAACTTGAAACTGTGATACCTGTGATATGTAGTTGTCACTGTGGCATGTAGTTGCCAATGTGTGAATGTGTATTCTTTGCTTTTGAGCATGTCTTGATGTATTCTACTTTGTGATCAGTAGAATGCATCTCGAGTTGTATTGTCTATAGTTGGTATTCTTGTCTTGTTGTTGTCGTAAGGATGTTGATTTCCTTTCCTTTGAGAGTGTGAATGAGTCCTTGAAGTTGACTTCCCTCTATGGCTTTTGAAATGATATATACTGTATTCCGTTTCGAAAATGGTTTTGACTTATACTTATCTATATATGATTATATGTTATTTAACATGTATTGATGGGTTACCAGCAATATTCGCTGACCGGGTGTTATCCCCATGCTATGTTTTCCTTGTTCTACAGGTTTTGAGTAGAGACCCGAGAGCGCTAGACTCGAGCTTTAGATAGTTTTATCATTTTTCTAGACGTTGCGTTTTGAGTGGCCTGTGCGCCTTGACTCTTTGGACTTTGATGTATGGTTTAGTTTTCCCGCCTGTGCATCTTTTAGTATTTAAGATGTGGCATAATGCCCCCATATACACTTGATTCCGCTTTGTTTAATATTTCATTAGATTGCTTTTCTCTTGCAATTAAGTTTTAAGTTATGGTAAAAATCGGGGGGTGTTACAGTATATTAATTATTTTTATTTAGAATTTAGAAATGCTGGTTTAGATTAATTGAATGATGTATAAGTTTATATTTATTAGTGTAAATGTGCTAGTTTGAAATATAATTATACTTTATTTATTATTGATATAATTTATATGTAATATTTTTATTTTATAATTATAATATTATTAAGTTATGAAGTTTATAAAATGTATAGTTTATAACTTTACTTAATTTATGTAATAAATTAATTATATTAATATCAATAATTTTTTAATTACTCTCTCAACCTACTGAAGCACAAAGAGACAATCAAATCTCATCTGGCTAGCCTGTTGATTGCCTTAAAATTGAGATGGTTTAGTTTGTTATGCCATTCCCAACTAAGGTCAGAATTACATTTAGCTACCATGCAAACATTCGGTTTAGTCGAATCCCAATCAACCACGTACATGTTCTCTTTCCTAAAAGAACAGTTTCCTTAGTTTCTTCATTGGTGATGTAGCAATCATTCTTGAGAATTCAACTGCTCCCATCCACGCACGTGGATCGGACACTTATGCACAACCACGCATCCTCCCATGCACGTGGATTAGGTGCGTTGGACTTTCTGTTTCTCTTCCACGTATGGTCCCACGCGCGTGGATTGGCCCCAGCACGGCTCCGGTTTGTTTTTGACTTGTGATCAAAACCAAGTCTGGTTTTATTTTATCACAAATTGGTATTTGCTCACTTATTATTGGATGAATTGGTGAAGATAGCTATAACCTCACGTAACTTTTGCTCTCTCACTTCTCTTGCTTTACACTCTTCCTTGAGTAAGAAAACTTGCTTCTTGAATTGGCCTATAGTGCTATCATTTCAGAATTTTTGAGCACAATGCTCTTGAAAGATTCGCGTTCGACCAAAAGTCAATCATTCTCTTCAATCAATTTGAATTGAGTGTTTTTTACACATTTGAAGTCATTCATCGGTTTGTTAACCAAATCCATAGAATCTTCACAAGCACTAGAATCAGGTTCACATTCGAAAGAAGATCGAGAGTTTACCTCGTCATTCTTGGCCATTAAACACATTCATTCTTTTGATTCTTCTTGGTTGAATATATATATATATATATATGAGTCCCTTCATCTCATGAGCTTTCACTCTTTGAATTGGAATTGGAGGAACATAATTCGTCGTTGAGATTTTGGTCACCAAAGCTTTCCTCTTTCTGTCACCTTCCGAGTGGGTTTTTGAATGATTCCGTGAAGATTTACCACTCAACTCTCCAGGTGATTGTACTAACGAATTGATGCTTTTGTATTTATGGTGTTTGAATATATTGTTATTATTATATTATATTATTATGCATAAAATCAAAACAGGTTAAATAAAACCGTTGTAGTTATGAATAAAGACAATGATTTTCAACCATTGTCTATACTGTGAGACAAAATACAATGGTTTTTAACCATTGTCTTTGATATATAAGACAACATTAAATCTGTTGTCTATGTGCGTGAATTTTAACAACACTCAATAGACAATGATTTTTAATCGTTGTCTTTGATATATAAGACAATGGTTAAAAATCATTATCTATTCGCATAACTTTCAACAACACTGGTTTTAACAACACTCAATAGACAACGGTACGGTTAAAACTATTGTCTTATATAGAAAAGATAATGGTGAAAAAGCATTGTCTATGCGCGTGACTTTCAACAACACTAGTTTCAATAACATATATTCAATAGATAA